GTGCACATCCCAGACAGCACCTAGAGTCATCTCACTGCATGAATATTCAGGAATGTGATGCTGAACTTCTACATCCTTACACATATAAGATGTTCTCACAAATTGTCTCTATATCTGACATTTTAGGCATATTTTTTGGACAGAGTCTCTAAAGTGCTGCCTGCTAGGGCACTGGATTTTGTAATCTGGCTACTGCAGTTACTTTTACCTCAGTGTGAACCCTCCAGGTTTCCCCTTGTTCCTCAAAGCATGACTTTTCCAGGAGTCTGCTTTTGTGTTACCTACATTTCTCCCTCCTTCACTAGTAGCGTAGTGAGCCTTTGAGGCAAAGAAGGTAAAGTAATTGCAAAGTTGGTTTGAATCAATGCATATGATACATTCATAGGATCACAGGATAACTTAAGCTGGCAGGGACTTGGGGAGGTCTTCAGTCCCAGCCCCTGCCCAGAGCAGGCTCAGCTGGGCAGTCACACTGAGCTGCTCAGGGCTTCCGCAGTTGGGGCATGAATCTCTGTAGGCAGGAGACATGTCAGGTTCCCTGGGCCCTGGCTCCGCTGCTGGACTGTCCTCCTGGGGACAAGGCTTCTCCTTATGTCCAGCCTGAGCCTCCTGTGTTTCAGCTGTGCTGCTACCTCTTGCCCTCTCTCCACACACCACTGTGAAGAGCCTGGCTGCATCTCTGTCCCCTCCATCGGTGCTGGGGGTGCTGTTGGGTGCTGCTGAAACCATTCCTCCTCCCAGCAGAACCAACCCCGGTCCTGCAGCGTCTTCTTCCTGCAGCAAAGGCTCCAGCCACACCATCCATCACCAGAATGATCACTCTGCCCTGAAGTCTTTCCAGTTTGCTGATGTCTCTTCTGTGTTGGGGACCCAAACTGGGGGCGGTACCCAGACAGGGTCTGACAAGCACCAAGCAGAGGGGACAGTCCCTGCCCTCCCCGGGCTCTCCGGGCAATGTCCTGCTTACACCACCCCAGGCACCGCTTGCCCTTGATGCTGACTGGGCTCTGCTTGCTGCCCACCAGCGGCCAGGGCCATGCCCCAGAGCTGCCCCCTCCCCAGCTGCACGTGCCCTCCATCCCCTCCTTCAAGTCACTGGTGGGGGTGCTGAACAGGACAGGCCCTGCACAGACCCTGTGGAACCCTGCTTGATACCAGCCTATAGGCAGTGTCTGACCCATGACCACAGCCCTATGAGCCCACCACCCAACCAGGTCCTCACCCGCCAATGTGTCCTCCCTCCCAGACCGTAATATCACAGCCCAGGTGCAAGAATATTGGGGGAGACAGTGCCAAAAGCCTGGCTAGAGCAGAGATAGGTGGTATCTGCTGCTCTCCTCTTGTCCCCACGATTTTGTTGCAGAAGGCAGTCAGGTAGGTCAGGCATGACTGACCCTTGATAAATCCTTGGCAACTGCTCCCCGGTGCTGTCTTCTCCCTGCTGTGCCCAATTGTGGGTTCCAGGAGGACTCACTCCTTGATTTTACCTGGGACTGACGAGAGGCCATCCGGCCTGTGGGTCCTCAGGTTGGCTTTAGCCCTTTTTTGAAGGCAGGTGTGATATCTGCCTTTCTCCTGTTGTAGGGGACCTCCCTGATCTCCACAACCTTTGAGAGCTGATGGAGAGCAGCTGCACAAGGGCATCAGCCACCTCCCTCAGCACCTTGGGGTGCAACCTGACAGGTCCCAGGGGCACATGTGGGTCGAATGCTCCTGAGCAATCCTGACTCAACCATCATCCCTGGCTGGTAGCTTCTCTCCTCCTTGAGCCCTGTCACTATGCACACAGTACAAAACTTTACAGAAAAAAACCCGAGTAGCTGTATGTAATGTCCTGCTCTGGTTTCCTTAACCTTCCTGAGAGCCTTTTAGTCTAGGCTTTTGACCTCCCAGGTAGCTTAGGAGTCCTTAGCACCTTGTTCCTTTGTGCTAGATGGCTAGAGAGAGTGAGCCTGCCAGCCTGGAGCAAAACATGAGCTATTTGGGAAATGCCAGTCCTTTTGAGTTCATACCTCTTGCTGTGGTAATCTCAGATGCATGTACCCTGCACACCTGTGTGTTAGAACTATATGCAGTTCCTCCACTGCCTGCTCAGCGTAACTGGGCTGTTCTGGGTGCAGCTCACCTCTGGGTGCATTTACATGTAAACCTTAAGTTTGTAGTGCGAATGATGTTAATTACTAAAATAGTTCAGTGTTCGTTCGGCCTCTCAGTTTCAGGTTTACTGCACTGATTTGTCTTGTCAGATGGTTAGTTCTTTTCCCCAGGATCTCTGCTTTGAAAAGGCAGGTTGCTCTGGCTCTTGCTGCTCTAGGAGGGGCTGCTGATGTGACCCTGAATGGAACAGTAATGTATAAGATGGATAGTCATTCTGTGCTCATATTTTGATGATAGATTGAAATTAATTCAGATTTTAGAAAATGTAATCCATTGATCATGAGCCTGATTGCTTTTAACTGCTGTCCTTCCAAGTGCTGGTATTTGCTGAGTCAAACTCAAGACTGTGTAACGTGATATCTAAGTGAGTAATGTAAGGTAATGTCGTATTTAGTTGGGATTGCTATTGGTTCTCTGTCTTTCGAAATGATTCCTGGATAAAAGGTATTGTTATTGTGAGACCGCTCTAGGAGCAGTACAGTAAGCACAAGGTATTTTAGGACCAAAGGTCAATAGAATATCTATGTTTTTTTCTCATCTTTAATCTAAAGATCAATTTTTTTCCTTATGTTTATTGTCACTTACCCTCAAGTCCCCCAGAAAAGCAAACAGAAAAAAATGGACCAAAGAGGCTAACAGCTCAGCTGTAGAGAAATGTGTCCTCTGAAGGTCAATAATAAAATCAAAACTATCTCTTTTTTCCTAGTCCTTCCTTTGAGATATGCAGGGAGAGTCATAAACAACTATAGTCATTGGTCTTGTGGTCTTTGTGGGCAGATTTTGTCCAAATCTCTGTCCCTTGTGCTATCTACTTTACTGCTACGTTGCTCTGAAAAAACTGTAGTTTAGATACATCTCTATAGCAACTCTGAGTGTGGATTCTGAGTCCACATGTTATTTGACAACACAGTGTCAGCAATGATCTTCCATCTGTGTTGATCCCTCATAGTCTTCTGAAATAGTCATTTAATTGATATCTGTAAGTGGCTTAGTGTGACTGGCTTATGCTCCAAGTTCCAGCTTGGATGCTTTTTGTTTAGTTAATGAACCTTGACCTGCGTGTCTTGGTTTGTGTATGACGAGGCAAAATTACAATGGGTTTTGCTTTTGGGGTCATCAAAATGAGGTCCCTAGATCAATAGTTTGTTTCAGTGGCTCTGTGCACCCTCTGCTAATCCCTGAGGTTTTTTCTGCCACTACCACAGCGCAAATTGTTTTGGAGTCATGCAGTGAGACAGACTGGGCAGTACTTCTGGTTACAGTAACCTGGCAATTAAACCCACTCTGTGAGGCTTCCCCCCCTGCCCCCAGCTAAATAATTTCCTCGTCATTTTTCCAGGATACAGTTGTGAGCACATGCCTGACTTCTTTCAGGCAAGTCCCTGGATTTCTGTGATACGCTACTATTTGTCTCAGCTAGGGAAAATGTGTACATTGTCTAGGTTAGCTAATCCATGTTGACTTAGCGTGAAAAAATTTGGGCATTTTCGGTAGCCCCTATTGCCTTCTGACTTCCACCTAACCATCATCATACATGTGACAATAAAGTTCAAGTCTTTTCTGCTTCTACAACTCTTTAATTCTCCACTGAATAAAATTGTTTAATTGAATTATTAATTCTCCAAGAGCGCGGGAGGCTTCCTTCTTGAGTCTGCTTTTGCAGAGCATTGAATCAATCAAATGTAGTTTGCATGTATTGAAAAACTGGAATGCAAACATAATTTCGTAGTTTCTGGACACCAAAAAGTGCCCTTCTAAAGCAGTTCACTTCCTTAATTTGCTTAGGGTTGTTTTGAGGTTTGGTTTTGTTTGTTTGTTTTTTATTTTTAATCCATTTCTCTTTCACTAGTTAGTTCTCACTCATCTCTACAGAAAAGTCCCTCTTTCTGAATGTACTTCTTCAGGGTTTTGCAGATGTTTACATCTAACCTGCCCCTAGATCCACAACTAATACATCTGAGTCCCAAAGCAGTCATTGAGTTTGGGTTGTTGAAGCCTGTTTGGTGTCTTAAAAGAGTAAAAGGGAAGAACTTATCTCCATTTCCCAGTGTATATTAACTTCTGAAATGTCTAAAGGAAAACTGGACTGTCAGATGTCACTATAAATTACATTGAAGTTAATCCTGTAGAACAGACTGGAGCCTGTCGAAGCCTGTATGACAGTAATACTGGTTGAATTTGGAATCTGAGTTATTCATCCTGTTGCAAAGCCTTAATGCTAACTGAGCTTCTCCTAAATTTCCCTTAACAATGCACTTCAATCTGTTTATTTTGTATATTCACTTTGCTGGCATCCAGGAGTTAGTATAAAGGTCAGCCTGAAGTTCTCTCTAAACTGAGGGTTGCTCCTCTCCTGATTAATGACAGTAACTCCTAGATCTTTCTTCAGTACCTAGAATAACCTGTGGTAACAACCATAGCAAACCTTGGTGTCCTAAGATATTCCTCTGAAATATCACATACGAGACCAGTAAATCTGAGCTGCATTGCTCAAGTCAGAATTGCTATGCAGGACTCTCAAACTGTTACAGAATCACCCAGAATCACAGCATGGTTTGGGTTGGAAGGGACCTTTGAAGATTATCTAGTCCAACCCCCCAAATGTTATTAGTGTTCCTCAGGTAGACAACAAATTCTGTATCCAGCAAACATATTTGTGATTTAATTCAATGTCATTTTGCCATTGTTGAGATTTTTTCAGATGAGAATTTTTATTATATTCCATGTCAGAAAGCTACAATATCCTTCTTTGTAGAAAAACTCTTTGGGCTATTCTGATGAAGATCTTAGAGTTGCAAGCAAATGTGTTTGATATAAAATTACTTCTTTATTTTTAATGTGAGATGTTGCTGTGGACGGCTGATTGGAGATCACCCAGGAGTAGACTGTAGCTGGCCTGTTTATCAGGCTGCAGCACAGAGGGATGCTGGAGAATGGTCTGTGCAAAAACACACAAAGACGAGTCCAACAGATGCATTTGGTACAATCAATTTTCAAGATGGAGATCACACGTACCACGCCAAGGTAATAGATGCTGGGTTTATATGTCTGACTTCTTTTTATAATTTCAGCACAAGAAAGGCAAAAGGTGGTTTTGGATGAATATCAGATTGTTTGTCTTAAAAAGGCAGGGGAATCTAAAAGTAAGTCAGGTTAAAGTGCGTGTATGATGTTTTTATGTAGAACTTCACTGTGAGTAAGTGTAGTCTGTCTTGCTGTCTGTATTGCTCACTGATATATTTTTGTGCTATCATGTTAGCAGTATTGTGAAGGTTCTAATCCGGCACAAAATCTTTAGGACATAAATGCTGAGAACTTTTTAAGATGTTTCAGTATCTTCTCTTGGACTATTTGAAGGATGTTTATTTTACCTATTATTATTTCTTCCAGTATATTAGACTCTCTTATGATAGCAATTTGGATCAACTGTTGCACCTGATGCTTAAAGAATGGCAGATGGAGTTGCCAAAGCTAGTGATCTCTGTTCATGGAGGCATTCAAAATTTCAAGCTTCCCTCAAAACTCAAGCAAGTTTTCAGCAAAGGATTGGTGAAGGCTGCTGAGACCACAGGAGCATGGATAATTACAGAAGGCATCAACAGCGGTAGTGTAATTATTTTTTCTTTGTTTTGGTGTTCTTCTGGTGTTCTTCCTCTGCATATGAGCATATACACTTAGGGCAAATATAATGAAATATTTTTGATAATTTGTGATATTTTAACACAAAATGAAGCTTTTTTTAAAGGAACAGTGCAGAATTCAAAGAGTGACATCATGTTCCTCTGCTGCTGACAGGCATTCTGAGTATTTTTAGTATTTTTTTTTATTAAAAAGCGGAGTATTCTGCATGTAATAAGAAACAATGATAGCAGACAACCAAAACTTACTTGCAGTCAATTTTATCTGCTTCATTAAAATATTTAGGTTCTGAGGACTGTCACTGGTGTTTTTGAAACAGTTTTCAAATTTAAATTTAACTTGTATTTTATAATTAACAATGTTTTGAATTAGGATAATCCATTCATTAGCCTATTGGTACATGAAACTTCCTGTGAACTACTCTCAAAAGCTGAGGGGGGGTCAGTGAGCTATGGAACTGAAATGGTTTTACTTCTTTAGCTTTTATTCAGTTCTGTAACCTTACAGGAGAACTGTACTGTGCATTTATGTGAATAATAAAGTTTTATGGAAGTAGAAAGCACCATTAGCAGCATATATGAGTATTATTAATTAGAAATATTATGTCTAAGTGTTACAATACCTGCAGTGGACATCAAATATACAGGTTGGGTGGGATGGTTTGTTTCTAACTGTAGAATAAATTAATGATGGGAAAACATTTTACTGGTGTCCTGTAGCAGGTCTCTGAATGTAGAAGAAAATAGATCATTTAATTATCTGTTTAGGAGTGTCCAGGCATGTGGGGGATGCACTGAAAGGTTGTGCCTCACCCCACCTGAGAAAGATCTGTGCTGTTGGAATTCCTCCATGGGGTATCATTGAGAACCAGAGGGATCTCATTGGAAAAGATGTGAGTTGAACACATTTTAATAATAAAAGCCTTCATGTTCAGGGGATGTTATAGCTTTCTTGCATACTTTATTTTTTGCTTGCTTCATTTCACTGTTTTCATTTTTTTCTCAGTAACAGAGGCTTAGATTTTGCTCAGCAGTAGAATTCTGTGGCATGTTCAGGCACTGTATTTTGCTTTTTGTATATAAATGAATAGTTCTAAAATATTTCTGTTCTTACAGAAAATTGACATTCCTTGTCGAAATTTTGTAATTAATTAGGCAATTCTCTTGTGGTTGCAAATGATCTATTTCTATATTCATGTGATTCAGGATGAGCAGTCAGGTTAATGGTATACACAAATAGGCTATTAATATGCATGATTTTTGTTCATAAACTAGAATTTTATGTGAGTGCCAATGTGAGGGTACAATCTACATAACTGTCTAAAAACACTTGACAGGTAAGGTAAAATCATTCCTGATGATAAATGATAAATCACATATTTTTAATGGGACTACACCCAGGAAAAACATGCCATTGTGTTTCAGCTGTTGCAAGGAAACGCCCGCAGTGACTTGGACTAAAGACTGCAAGTCTAATCAGAAGTGGTTTCTGTGGTATTAATTGTGGTTTTGTTGCTGTTAAGAATCAAATGAAAACCCATGTTTGCATAGAGCACCAAAAAGCATGATGGAGGCTTTCATAAGATCACAATATGATGAAGAAATGCATGCAAGTGAGGCAACATAAATGGTGATACTTTGTTGGTTTCTTTGAAGATCTTTTTATTTTGGTTTTCTTAGGTAGTTTGCCTGTACCAGACTCTTGGTAATCCACTCAGCAAGTTAAGTACCCTCAACAGCATGCATTCTCATTTTCTAATGGCAGATGATGGGACAGTAGGCAAGTATGGGAATGAAATGATGCTCAGGAGGAATTTGGAGAAGTACATATCACTTCAAAAAATACACACAAGTGAGTACTGCTATGGTCAGCTTTATGACAGAAAAACCTATCCTAGAAGTTGTGGAGGTACTTGACATTTCCTGTTACATGTACATTTTCATCTGCTATAGATTTCCCTGAGGTTGAAGGTTGTTAATTGCGCATCTTGAACTCTGAATATCAGGAAAATGAAAGAACAGCATTTTTAGAAAGCATTATGCATTTGGGCTAACTTGCATTTTAGTTTCTCAGTTGTAGAGACATCTAAATGACTCAGATTACTTAGTAAGTATTGATCATTTGCTCACTTTGCAGTTTTGCATGGTCTCTGTATCAGCAGTAGATAGTTTCCCAGCATTTTGCTAGGTGGAAAAAATGTTACATTCAGTGGAATTTGAATCCTTCTTCCCCTGTTCGTTACTTTTATTCTCGTCACTCTTCTATATTGAAAGACTGTGACCTCATCAGGTACAGAAACAAAGACTGGTTGTGAAAGGAATACTTTCAGCCAATGTTTATCAGATTGCGTAACTTCCATTGTTTGCCTATACAGTAACTGAGTAATGGTGTAGAAATCATGAATGAAATATTTATTACACAGACAAGTTTGGGGTTTTTTTATGCACTAGGTTGTATAAATTCTTTGTGGAAGTTCACTCTTACCTAGTGATTTAAATCTTGAGGTATGTTAAAAAGACATTAGCAGAGTTATGATGTTCAATCCTTGTTTCCTTTATCTGCTCACATTATAGTATTTAAAAACATAGAAACTTACCCAATTTCTAATGTGTTCATATTTAGAACTTCTTACTCAGCCTCTTCTATCTTTTCTTACTATGAGTTTTATGAGTCAGACTTTCTGTTATTTTTCCGTTTCTGTTGCATTGTATTTGAAATTTATTTCTGATTAATAAAAAAACCCAGCTGCTGCTATAAAACTTGAGAAAGTCTGTAAAGAAGTGCCTGATTACTTTTCTATGTGTGTAGGTAAACAAGTGGATATTGACCATATTTCAAATGCTGTCAATGTCCTTGTATGTGAGAGCTATTGTAAAGGGCAGAGGGATATTTTGAAGGATGTTTCTTCTTTCCAATGCTAGGGCCACTTACAATTTTGTCAGGAGGTTTTCATGCTCTTTTTGATCTGGTTGCGGAAGTTCTGTGAAAGTCTTAAAAAGTGTAAGTCAAATTAGAGATGGTGAAGGCATGACTTCCTCTCCATTGAACGATGTATGAGACTCCTTCATAAGTATTTATTTACCAAATGTGCTGGGGTTTTTTGTGTGACTGAGACCTGTTTGTAACTGGTTAGGTGTGTTTTGAAACAGGAATGGGCCAAGGTGTACCCATAGTTGGGTTGTTGGTGGAAGGAGGCCCCAATGTGATCCTAATGGTGTGGGAATACGTGAGGGCCAGCCCAGCTGTCCCTGTGGTGGTCTATGAGGGCACTGGCAGAGCTGCAGATATCCTGGCTTTTACCCACAAACACATGGGTGATACAGGGTGAGTAGTGGCATAATGCTCCTCCTCCTTGGTCTGTTGTATTGGGAGGGACCTGAAAACACCTGTCTCAAAACCACTGAGATAATTTCTAATACTTCTGGTAATGACCCTGCCATGGTCTTTTGCTGGCTTTTACTTATGTGAAGTGAGAGCAGACTTTCTTCCTTCCCTGCCTCAAACTAGCACTGAAAGAATTATTCTGCCAAATTTACCATGGCTTTTTTGAAGAGGAAAAAGAAACTGCATCTAGCTATTTTGAGTTATTATAATATTTCTCACCTTTGGGGAGGGACATTGCTGGGTGACCCTAGAGTGCCTGCTTGGGTTTTGACTCGATCCTTTCTCTTGCCACCAGTATTCTGTAAGTGGGGTTGGATTTGGGTTGCACAAAGCTTTGAGACTAGGGCTGGAATTAGTTGCTGTAGGAGCCTCAGGCTCGGGTAGGAGAAGGACTAAGGCTTTTTCTTTCACATTTTTGATCTTCAAAAAAAAAGTCCTGCCATTTCAAAAAAAAAGGATAATATGGATAGGAAGGTTAAAAGAAAGATAAATGAGGGGTAAAAAGATGGGAGAGGTATGAAGCCTAATGAACAAATAATGAGGAATTTAATTTTATCCCTATATGATTATTGAAAGAACGAAAAAGTGCTAAAATTTTAGTGATTTTTAGCTCTATAATCACAGACAATCCTTTGGAAATTGTTAACTTTTTCATTTGTTCTATTTCCAAATGTGTGGTCGAACCTAATGCCTGTGTGAATAATAATTTATGTTATGGGATGCCTTTGCTTTGTTTTGTTGAAAGAAGGCAGGAATAAGTCAACATAGAAGTAGAAATAAAAGCGATTTCTCATATGTCTCTGCTTGGCACAAGTTTTGTCTTTTGCTGAGATATCATTTGTACTGGTAAGAAGTACATAAAAATATTCTTATTCTTGCTTGTTTATCTGTTTTTCAGGGAACTGCGCCCTCAAGTGAAAGAAGAGGTCTTAGTGATGATTCAAAACACATTTAGCTTGGGACAGAAACAGTCCAGTCATCTGTTTCACATTTTGATGGAATGCATGGAACACAGAGAGTTCGTGAGTGGGGTTCATGCTCTGAGTTTAGGATGTCTTCATTTACTGTTGCCCTTTTTACTCTTTCTGTTATGAGCTGGCATGGGCACAGCAGTTGTAGAAGTGATGGTGTTATCTCTAACATAAAGATAACACAAAGGTATCTGTGCTAATTTATATGTGAGTAGCTCCATAGATCCTGTTTAGTTAACTTCTCAAGTCTCAAACGTTGCTTATGAAATGACAGCATTTCTCATTTTAGTAAAAGGCCAGACGTCTTTGTTTTTGCATGAAAGATCAAGTAATTCCTGCTTTTTTTCTTCTTTAGTAGTGCCTTATTTGTAATTTAGAAACGTTTCCATCCATTCTTATAACAGAATTGTGCTAGAACTTGTCTCTGTGTATTGAAATGTACTTTCGAAATGGGCTGACGTGTTTAGCAGCTCAGGTGCTCATTTGCGAGTAGAATCGTGGAATTGTAGAATCACAGAATGATTTGGGTTGGAAGGGACCTTAAAGATCATCTAATTCTAACCACCCTGCCGTGGACAGGGACACCATCCGCTAGACGAGGTTGCTCAAAGCCCCATCCAGCCTGGCCTTGAACACTTCGAGGGATGGGGCATCCACAACTTCTCTGTGCAACCTGTTCCAATTCCTCAACACACTCACAGTAAAGAATTTCATCCTAATATCTGATCTAAATCTATCCTCATTCAGTTTAGAACCATTACCCCTCGTCCTATCACTACACTCCCTGATAAAATAGTCCCTCCTCATCTTTCCTGTAGGCCCTCTTTAAGTATTGAAAGGCTGCTGTAGGGTCTCCCCGGAACCTTCTCTTCCCTAGGCTGAGCAATCCCAGCTCTCTCGACCTGTCCTCATAGGGAAGGTGCTCCAGCCCCTGATCGTCTTCTTGACCCTCTTCTGCACACACTCAAGAAGATCCGTGTCTTTCTTATGCTGGAGGCCTCAGAACTGGATGTAGTACTCCAGGTGGAGTCTCACAGGAGTGGAGTAGAGGGCAAGAATCACCTCCCTCAACCTGCTAGCCACGCTTCTTTTGATGCAGCCCAGGATGCAATTGGTTTTCTAGGCTGTGAGCACACAGTGCTGGCTCATGTCCAGTTTTTCATCCAGCAGTACCTCCAAGTCTTTCTCTGCAGGGCTGCTCTCAATCCACTCATCACCCAGCCTGTACCCTGGTTTGGGATTGCCCTCACCCGTGTGCGGGACCTTACACTTGGCCTTGAACTTCATGAGGTTTGCACAGGCCCACCTCTCAAGCCCATCAAGGTCCTTCTAGATGGCATCCCTTCCCTCTAGAGAATCAACTGCACCACTGTAATTTGGTGTTATCTGCAGAATTTCTGAGGATGCACTCAATCCCACTGTCCATATCTCTGACAAAGGTCTTAAATAATCCTTGTCTCAATAAGGACCCCTGAGGGACACTAGTCTTCACCAGACTCCACACGGACATTGAGCCATTGACTGCAACTCTTTCTGTGTGACCATCCAGCCAATTCCTTATCATCCAAGTGGTACACCCATCGAATCCATGTCTCTCCATTTGAGAGACAAGGATATTGTGCAGGATAGTATCAAATCCTTTGCACAGGTCCAAGTAGATGATGTCAGTTTCTCTTCCCTTATCTGCCAGTGCTGTCACCCTGTTGTAGAAGGCCACCAAATTTGTCAGGCACGATTTGCCCTTAGTGAAGCCATGTTGGCTGTCACCAATCCACCTCCTTATATTCCATGTGCCTTAGCATGGTTTCCAGGAGGATCTGCTCCATGATCTTGCCAGGCACAGAGGTGAGACTGACTAGTTCCTCAGGTCTTCTTTTTTTCCCTTTTTAAAAATTTGCATTATATTTTCCCCTTTTCCAGTCACTGGGAAATTCACCAGACTGTCACGTCTTCTCAAATATGATGCAGTACCAAGTATTTGTTATGGGAGTAATGACAGTTGTAGCATTAATGACTAAAATGGAAACTACCCAATATGTTTTTATTATTTTTTTTTTACTTTATTTGAGTTTCTGTTTTTTAGTTGAAAACTGAGTAGACATCAACTGTGTTACATTTTCATATTTCTCAGCTTTAACGGCTGATCAAAATGAAATAGACTCATGTTACTGTGCAGTAGGTTGATTCCAGTTTGCCTGGGATGCCATTGCATTAAAAAGCAAAATGGTACATTTTCTGTCTGAAACAAAGGAAAATCTAAGCCTTTGCCATTGTTTGTGTTGAAATGTGTATGATTTAATCTACTGCGACCCTTACCAAGAAGAAATAACTATAGACTTCTCTGCCTCAAATAATGTACTTCTGCAATTCTAACAGATAACCATATTTGATGCAGAGTCAGAAGATCAGCAGGACATTGATTTGGCAATTCTGACTGCACTCTTGAAAGGTACTTACCTAAAACCAAGACCCGTCTTTATCTGACGTGCAGTCCCATTGGCTTATCTTTTTCACAGCAAAGGAATAACATCAATGTGTGAAAACTGCTAGATCCTTTACTTCTTTCCTAGGTACAAATATGTCTGCTTCAGATCAGCTAGATTTGGCGTTGGCCTGGAACCGTCTCGATATCGCCAAGAAACACATACTGGTTTATGGACAGCACTGGAAGGTACTATTACCTTTTATTTTTCACAGTGGCTTTACACTTCATTGTGAGGACTAATTTTCCATGATTTACATTTGTCAAGCTTTACCTAAGGAATAGTTTGATGTTTGGAGTGAGTCTTCTGCAGTAATGATTTTTGATTTTGGAGAAGCATATTCTTAAGATTGTGAAGTATTCAACTGCAGAGTGCATCAGATGAAAAATCAGCCACATTTGTTTCCCCAGAGCAGAGGTGGTATCTAAGATTCCTGTAGTTTTCACTGCTAGCTTTTCCACATAGTTTCAGTGGTCCTTCTGGATATGTATTCCTCAAGCCTGTGTTGACAATCATTAGGGTCAAGGATATTTCATCGTAGCCCAGAGTACTCTTTTCTCCAAAGGAGTAAACTCCAAAGGAGTGTTGCCTCTGTTTTCCTAGATCTAGACAGAAATACAGAAGTCACGATCTTTTATGGTGATACCAGGTAAAAAAAGGCAGAATTAACTGTGGTAACATGGTATCATGTCATTATTTCAGATATTGTTTCTTAAGAAGAGCTGCAATCAAAGCAAGCCGTGATTTAGACTTACATTAACTATACGGGTGTGAAAGAACACACAGTAGCAATTGAATCAGTCCTATGAATTATATTTTTCAAGTTTTCAGATGTAATCCAATATTTAAGTATAACCCTCCCTAAGTGAGTTTTTATGTACATAATATGATTTTTATAGGTGATAAATATAAAACTGTATGTGCCTCAATGCATACTATTCCCATTTGTTATAAGAGTAAGTATTTTCTTCAAGAAATTATATCTGATGCTCCCAGAAGTATTTAGGTTTTCCTTTCAAAGAATTACAAGGTTGATTTTTCCAGTCGCAAGCACCTTTTTTCTTTACAATGTAAATTTTGGAAAATGGACAGTGGGTGTATTTTTTTTGAGTGACTGTAGCTGGTTGTTTGACACAACAAGAAAGTTGAATTTTTTGATCACCAGTCCCTATTTTTCTGTGGTGTATAAGGCTGAATACATGCAGGACTATGCCTGAGATGTCTACAGTTGGGCATCCATGAATTAAAGGATTTTGTTGTTGTTGTTACCTCTCTGGGCTCAGTCCACTATCTGTGAAGTCAAGATGATTACGTCATGTTCTTGCACAAAACCTGGTAAAAATAAATGGTGTTGAGTGCCCACTGAAAGGCAAAGAAGGAAACTGCTGGTTTCATTTTCAGGATTTGAATGGTGTGTGAATAACAAGGGATGTGCCAAACCTGAAACAATAAAGTTAGAAGAAAACGTCGAATAGCTCCTTGCTAAGAGGGCATCATTCACTCTGTGAACTGAGTAAGACTAAGCCTTCTGGGGAAACATAATATATTATTGAGCAATGAATAATTGCACCATTATTCATGGTGATGAGTTATCTGATAACTTTTGAGTGTTTGAGTGCATAACCTTAACAGTATTTCTGTCCAACAGACTTTTGTTTTTCTGGAATATGGAAAAGATTTGTGTATACACAACAACATGTACCTATTTTTGCCTTTTTGATTTTTTTTATGATACTCTGTTATGTTTTGACTCTATGAAGAAAATGTATTTTTCCCAATGTTTTCTTTCATTGTTTTATAGCACATACATTTTTTAATTTGCTTATTTTTTTTCCTTCAACAATGTTGCTGTGAACCGTTGATAACCTTTATTGAAGCACATCTGTGTAAAACATTAAAGAAAAGGGGACATCATCTGTCTTACTGCTTCAAAGTCTATACTACTGTAGTAAGAGAGAGGCATTATGCTTTTGCCATTTTTATCACTGAAGATATGTCTTGGCAAAACCTGTCAGTCTGCATCATTCCTTTGTGTTTATATGAGAAGTGTGGCAGGTGAAACTTGCTTTGACTGGTCAATTAATATTAATGGTACAATAACAGAATTGTCGAAGAGAATCATAGAATCATTTAGGTTGGAAAAGATCTTGAAGATTATAGAGCCCAACTGTAAAACCAACACTACCAAATCGAACACTAAACCATGTCCCTAAGCACCACATCTACCCATCTTTTAAATACCTCCAGGAATGGTGATTCAGCCACTTCCCTGGGCAGCCTGTTCAATGCTTGACAACCCTTTTGGTGAAGAAATTTTTCCTAATATCCAATCTAAACCTCTCCTGGTGCAACTTGAGGCCATTTCCTCTTGTCCTATCGCTTGGTACTTGGGAGAAGAGACCAACCCCCACATCGCTACAACCTCCTTTCAGGTAGTTTTAGAAGGTGATAAGGTCTCCCCTCAGCCTCCTTTCCTCCAGGTTAAACAACCCCAGTTGCCTCAGCCGCTCCTCATAAGACTTATGCTCCAGGCCCTTCACCAGCTTTGTTGCTCTTCTTTGGACACGCTCCAGCACCTCAATGTCTTTCTTGTAGTGAGGGGCTCAAAACTGAACACAGTATTTGAGGTGCAGCCTTACCAGTGCCGACTACAGGGATGGTCACTGCCCTAGTCCTGCTGCC